GGCACTGTCGTTTCAGCTTCTCTGCTTTAACAATTCTTGTTTTCCCACTGAAATAGTTACAAGGTGGAACAAGGTCACATGGGTCATTAAACAAAACAAAACAACTTTTGATAGGCTTAAAAAACCCACACATAAACTGAAAACAGTTCTGCTCCTTACATTCCTACTTTAGACCAGTGGATTTCAAAACGTGTAACTTCAGAGTTCATACCTGCTGAGGGCCAATCTTGAGAACTTCATGGGCAGAGACTATGTCTCCACTGTATGCTGTATCTCACTCTCTATGCCAGCAGTAATCAGTGTGATACACTCAGTTGCAGAGAAGGTTTTTTGTCTCACCACAAGGGAAACAGACACACCTGAAAAGTTTAAATTGGATCTTTCATTTAATAACCTCAGCCATGTTGGTTAGAGCAAAAGCAAGAGAAGAAACATGAATGAGAAACCAGGCTCACAACTCACTTTCTGTTCCTAGTGGATTTTTCTTCTCTGTACAATGGGTATAGGGATGCGGGTGGCGCTGTGGGTTAAACCACAGAGCCTAGGACGTGCTGATCAGAAGGTCGGCGGTTCAAATCCCCGTGACGGGGTGAGCTCCCGTTGCTCGGTCCCTGCTCCTGCCAACCTAGCAGTTCGAAAGCACGTCAAAGTGCAAGTAGATAAATAGGTACCACTCCGGCGGGAAGGTAAACGGCGTTTCCGTGTGCTGCTCTAGTTCGCCAGAAGTGGCTTAGTCATGCTGGCCACATGACCTGGAAGCTGTACGCCGGCTCCCTCAGCCAATAAAGCGAGATGAGTTCCGCAACCCCAGAGTCAGCCACGACTGGATCTAATGGTCAGGGGTCCCTTTACCTTTACAATGGGTATGGATCATGGAGTGTTGCTTATTCCAACAGTCTCCACACATTGTTAGACTGCAATTCCCATCGTCCCACATCATTTACCATGTTGGTTGGGGTCTGCTGAAAACTGTCGTCCAATGACATCCAGAGAGCACCATGTTAGCCACCGCTGCTATATGCTTTGTAATGGTGAAAGGAAAATGCATTTTGGTAAATCATTTGGCACATGGTGAGCAGTAGAAACTGTCCATGCTTCCCTGGTATGGGACAACATTTCATTTGCCAAGATGTATTTTCCAATCAAACTTTAGGGCATCCTTTGAGGGCTCTTCTACATGCAGTAAGCATGTCTACTGTGTAAATTGCTCTTTGACACTGAGAAGCCCTCTATTAACAACACTCCCCATGCATCATATTCAAACCTGCCATTTTGGGCAGTTGTTCCATATTGACAGAACCCTTCTCACATTCAATAGCAAAGCCAAAGCTACGATCATTCGCACAACTCTTTTGCTGCAACGTAATGGGCTTTGTACAACAATTGGTATTATCAAAATATTTTTTTCAAAGCAGCAGCTTTGAAATAAAGGTAACAAATAACATTACGTGTCAAATTGCTTGTAGAAATTACATCTCCAGACAGGGTTTGCCTATTTAGCAGGTGCTACAAGCAATACAATGAAGTTTCCTGCTTAATATTAATGGGCAGGGAATTCGAAAGACTAAGTGCTGCCACACAGAAGGATTGATTCCTCGCAAATGCAAAATGGGCATTCTGTGCACTTGCAGGAGTGCCAGTTCCATAGACTGAAGCGGCCAAGTGGGCACATATGGCATAAGGTGATCCTTCAAGTTTACTTATTGATTTGTTATCTTCTAATATTGTACTCAGAGTGACTTACAGCATAAGGGTAACAGTGCTACACTATAAGATTACAGTACAAATAACATTCTTGGTGAAATTTGACATGGTGGAGGGGGGGAAGGGAGAAGTCCTGTCTAAAAATCCTACAATTACCAGAATGTCTACAGTGTTGCTATTAAGTAGTTATGTACCAATTAACTTGGCATTTTTATTAATTGCATCAGTTACTTTTACAATGAACTTTGAAGGACTTCTTAGCATATTTTAGTAATGAGCCCAAGAGGTGCATCTGAGTCTGCCTTGCCTGCTGCTGATACCGCAACTTCAGATTAATTTCTGGTAGAAATCAATTAATGGGGTCAGGTGAAGCCAATAAAGTACAGAAGTTATTTGATAAATATCCCCAATGTGTTTTGCTGATGTTCATGAGAATTTGCACCACAGTCATGAGATGCATATTGCATCTCCATCTGATAAGATACAGGTAATGGTATTTTTTTCTAAACACAGCGATGTTTGGAGGCAGTGTTCCTCTTTTGGACAAATTTCCCTGATGAAGATAAGTGAAATGTACCAAAAGTTATGGGTTAAATAACTTATTGGTATTTCCTCCAGCATTCTTTCTTGCCTGCAGCAGTGTAGGACCTGCCATTTCTGTAAGACCAGACCAGAAATAATGGACACCAGCTGAATCAAAAACCCATCGTCATGTTTTAGGTTGACCGTGGCTCCCACAGATCTACAGATCTGCACTGCTGATAATACACAATTAAAGTGAAAAATGCTGTTTGATTCAGAAGATACCTGATGATTCACACCTAATGAGAGTGTGGCCCTCTTGTTGCTGGGGTCATTTCAGCCACCAGATATGGAATTTTAAAAAATATTTTTGACCATGTGTAATTCCATGTGTAACGAGAATACATAATATGATAAGGTTACAAGACGTCCCCGTTTCTGGGGATAGTCCCCAGATTTACAAATCAGCCCCCATACAAAATCCATTGAAGTTGAAAAGTGACCCCGGATTCATTGAAAAAAAATCTGGTAACCTTATAATATGAGTGATTGGTGGATAGAACATTTCCCCACTTGATGAGGCCAGAATATATGCCAGAATATAATTGAACCCCACCTGAAAATAGTGACAGTCTGGAAATGCCCTGTGTAATCTGATGGTTGGCTGTGGGCTTCTCAACATGCCCTGCTGCTCCTGCTCCTCCCACCCTCTTAATTTTGTCTGCTATTAGGAAACAAAGACTTTAATTAAAAGATTTTAATTAAAATCTTCTTTGGTCCCCCCCCCCCCTTACTACTCTTCTTATTAGTTATTGTTAGCTGCCTTGGATTGCCTGTGTAAGGAAAGTGGAATATAAATTTTTAAAGAAGCCTAAGCAAATAATGTATGTATGACAAATATATTAACATGTGTATTGCCCTAAATATTCTTGGGGAAATAGCTGCATTGAGTATTTCTCCAATATTCGTTCTTGTGGCAGATTACACATTTCCTATGTAATGGTGCATATGATTTCCCTCTACAAGAATGATACACTACAAGAAAACAACAAGGAGACTTGTGACACCTTAAAGACTAGTAAATTTATTGTGGCACAAGCTTTTGTGGACTATAGTCTGCTTCATTAGATGCATGAAGTGTTTTCCTCAGTTACAGTAATATATACACTTGGTTTGGGGTTTTCAGGATTGTGAACATTGAGGTCAGGAGGAATTGAAAAATCACTGTTTACAGTTTTGCTCCAGGCCAAACATATATAAACTTGTAACTAAGGATAAAGCATCATGCATCTGATGAAGTGGATTGCAATCCACAAAAGTTTATGCAGTAACAAATGTATTAGTCTTTAAGGCACTACAAGACCCTCATCTTGTTTTGTCTGCAAGAGACTAACACATCTAAGCCTTTGGAAATTATAAGAAGAGAAGTATTGTGATAAGGTGCAAACTGAGCCTACTGCAATCAATATGAATTTGCCACATACTTCAAGAGATTGATTCTGGTCAACTAATAAAGCAAAACCAGAGATTAATGTGAAAAGGGGATCACTTGAACATGCCAGCATTTCATTTGGTATGTGCTTCAAGCTTCAGGCACAGACTCAGATCAATGTTTCCTTTATCTCAAATGATTTTTCTCATCCCTAATATTGTCGTATTTCATGCAAAGGCCTTCTTAATCAATAAAAAATCCATCTAAAAGTTTTAATAAGTGTGCCATAATTGAAGCTCTTAACAATAAAATGTTCAATAGCAGTATAAAAGCTCCCATCAAAGACACATCTCTAATTACATCATGTTATTTTAGGTATCTTTTTGCGTGAGAAAGAGCTAGGGTGAATGTTAAGGTAATTATATCCTGTAAATAGAATAACAAATTATCATCCTTGGTAAGTCCTATAAGCCTTGCTCAAACTCTTCATAGCAGAACAAGAATACTGGGATGCTTGCAATGTGGTATCTTTGTACCAGAAACAGGAAGATTTTCTGGCTGGCCTCTGTGAAACAGAGAGTTTGACTGCTTGGATGTTGAATTTAACCAGCATATGGCTACATGGCAATGATGAGCGGCACAAGAAACAAAATCGGGCAGAGCATGAAATGGGAATTTTACCTTCTTACAGTAAGCTTGTTTCTTCACAGACACACATCCCTCTCTATCCTTCATCCAGAAGCATTATCAGAGCTCACAAAAACATTTCTGCTGGGCGACGTTTGCTCTGATGGGCCTGAGGTTCCCCATCCCTGCTTCACCCTCTGCTGAGGGGTTGCCGTGGCAGAAGTGCAAATTAAACGAGAAATGAAGACAATCCCTTCCAAACACCTCATTGTGTAATACAGGCAAGACATCAATAAAGAAAGGAGAATGTACTGAAAATAGCACAGACTTTACATGGCTTTGCCTTGCTGTTCATGGCTAACAGCAACCATCTCTGAAGGAGGCAAGGTAGCACAGTTTCATACATATGCTATGTGAGAACTAATTATTTTTGTTCTTAAAACCTGGCATCTTGGTGAGGATGCCATGGCGGACACAACTAATTGGTCAGGTAGTCAAGCACTTCATTTGTGTTGCTATGGATACTAGAGCTAGGAGAATTGAATGTACAGACTTGGGGTATTGCTAATACACAGATCACTCTCAAACGCTATAACAAGAGTCAAGTTTCTTCCTTGAACTTCATCCCGTACGTGAATATCTCAATAAGTTTTGAGAGCTGTAACAGAGTGCAGATTATGTGAGAAAATGAGCATGCTCAGTCTTTTTTTTTTTTTAATGATATTTATTAAAGTTTCACAAAAATACATGAAAATACAGAATAAAGAAAAAGTATAAAGTTTTAAGATATAACAAAAAAAGTAGAAAATAAGAAAAAACGTACAAAATAAAACAGTTAAAAACACAATAATGTTCCATAACCTATCTTCCTTACTCTTATTTCCCCGGACCTCCTCATACCTCCCTTCTTTGTATTCCAATTCAATTTGTTGGTTCAGCAAATCCTTACCATTAATCTTTTACCCAATTGTTAACCTTTTTTTCCCATGTCTCTTAAAGCATTACAGCTAAAAACCTCTTAGTTTCTATCCAACATCCTTCTAAAGTTCCTTAATTTTGCAATATTTCTGTAAATAGTCCTTAAATTTCTTCCAGTCTTCTTTCACCGACTCTTCTCCCTGGTCTCGGATTCTGCCAGTCATTTCCGCCAGTTCCATGTAGTCAATCACCTTCATCTGCCATTCTTCCAAAGTGGGTAGATCTTGTGTCTTCCAATACTTTGCGATAAGTATTCTTGCTGCTGTTGTAGCATACATGAAAAAGGTTCTATCCTTCTTTGGCACCAGTTGGCCGACAATGCCCAAGAGAAAGGCCTCTGGTTTCTTCAGAAAGGTATATTTAAATACCTTTTTCAGTTCATTATATATCATTTCCCAGAAAGCCTTAATCTTTGGGCACGTCCACCAAAGGTGAAAGAATGTACCTTCAGTTTCTTTACATTTCCAACATTTATTATCGGGCAAATGATAAATTTTTGCAAGCTTGACTGGGGTCATGTACCACCTGTATATCATTTTCATAATATTCTCTCTTAAGGCATTACATGCCGTAAACTTCATACCTGTGGTCCATAACTGTTCCCAGTCAGCAAACATAATATTATGTCCAACATCTTGTGCCCATTTAATCATAGCAGATTTCACCGTTTCATCCTGAGTATTCCATTTCAACAGCAAGTTATACATTCTTGACAAATTTTTAGTTTTGGGTTCTAACAATTCTGTTTCTAATTTTGACTTTTCCACTTGGAAGCCTATTTTCTTATCCAAATTATATGCCTCCATTATCTGATAGTAGTGGAGCCAATCTCTCACTTTATTTTTTAATTTTTCAAAACTCTGCAATCTCAATTTATCTCCTTCTTGCTCCAAAATTTCCCAATATGTCGGCCATTTGGCCTCCATATTGAGCCTTTTCAGAGCTTTTGCTTCCATTGGTGACAGCCACCTTGGGGTTTTATTTTCCAATAAGTCTTTGTATCTTATCCAAACATTAAACAATGCTTTCCTAACAATATGGTTTTTGAATGCTTTGTGTGCTTTGACCTTATCATACCATAAATATGCATGCCATCCAAATACATTGTTAAAACCTTCTAAATCCAAAATGTCTGTGTTTTCAAGAAGTAGCCATTCTTTCAGCCAGCAAAAAGCTGCTGATTCATAATAAAGTTTAAGGTCTGGCAGGGCAAATCCACCTCTTTCCTTGGCATCAGTTAATATCTTAAATTTTATTCTGGGCTTCTTGCCCTGCCAGACAAATCTAGAAATATCTCTCTGCCACTTCTTGAAACAGTCCATCTTATCTACAATTTGTAATGTCTGAAACAAAAACAACATTCTAGGCAATACATTCATCTTTATCACAGCAATACGGCCCAGCAACGAGAGTTTCAAATTTGACCAAATTTCTAAATCTTTTTCACTTCCGTCCAACATTTTTCGTAATTATCTTTAAATAAGTTCCCATTTTTGGCTGTCATATTAATCCCCAAGTATTTCACTTTCTTTACCACATTCAATCCTGTCTCATTCTGAAACCTCTCTCTTTCAATCGGTGTTAAGTTTTTCTCTAAAACCTTAGTTTTTAACTTGTTCAATTTAAAACCTGCCACCTGACCAAATTCCTGAATTAATTCTAAAACTCTTTTAGTACTAGATTCTGGCTCCTGTAACGTCAATACTAGGTCATCTGCAAATGCTCTCAGTTTGTACTGTTTAGCTCCGACCTGTATGCCCTTAACCAACCGGTCCTTTCTAATCATGTTTAGCAAAACCTCCAGGACCGATATAAAAAGCAGTGGGGAAATTGGGCACCCCTGTCGTGTCCCTTTTTCTATCTTAAATTCTTCCGTGACCACATTATTTACAATTAATTTAGCCTTTTGTTCAGAGTATATTGCACCTATACCATTTTCAAAACCTTGGCCTACCCCCATCCCATGCAGATTCTTCTTCATAAAACTCCAAGAGATATTATCAAAAGCTTTCTCCGCGTCAACAAATATCAATACTGCTTTAGTGTTTATATTCACTTCTAATTTTTCCAAAATATCAATTATATTCCTCAAATTATCAGACAAGTGTCTTCCCGGGAGAAAGCCCGCTTGGTCTTTATGAATCTCTTTCATCAATACTTTTTCAATCTCTTGGCCAAAATGTCTGCAAAAATTTTGTAATCCACATTAAGTAACGATATAGGGCGATAGTTCTTAAGCTGAGTCTTTTCAGTCTCTGTTTTCGGTATAAGTGTGATATACGCCTCTTTCCACGATTCTGGTGCCCTTTTCCCCTCCAATATTTCATTGCAGACTTCCTTCAAAGGTTGCAATAACCACTCTTTCAAAGATCTATAGTATCTGGAAGTCAGCCCATCCGGTCCTGGAGATTTGCCCAATTGCATATTTTGTATGGCACCTTCTACTTCCTGTTCAGATATTTTATAGTTCAGCATTAATTTACTTTCTTGAGAGATTTTTGTAGGCCATTTGTCTTCAAAAATTGGTCTATGTCCATTTCCTTCTGTGGCCCTTGTGTGTATAATTGTTTAAAGTACCTCTGGAAGCAATTTCTGATCTCATTTGGATTGTGTATACTCTTTCCTTCCACTTCTAGATTTATAATGGTATTTAATTTTTGTCTTTTTTTCATTTGCCAGGCCAACAGTTTTCCACATTTATTAGCTGATTCAAATGTTTTTTTGTCTCATTTGTTTGATTTTCCATTCTATTTCCTGATTCATCATTTCCATATATTGTACTTGATATAATTTTATTTCTCTCAAAATCTCCTGGGACTTTGGTTTTGCTCTCAATTTCTTCTCACCTTCTTTTATTTTTTCCAAGATTTTATCTTTCTTTTCATTTTGACTTCTCTTCTTTATTGCATTCTGTTGTATCAAAAACCCTCTCATCACAGCTTTGCTTGCGTCCCAGATTACTCTTTTTTCTACATTGGTGTTCATATTTATTTCAAAATAATCTCTCAAAGTCTTTTGGGCCTTTTTGTAAACTTCTTCATCTCTAAATAAGGTGTCATTCATCCTCCATCTAAAGGATCCGGTTGTTGTTTGTTTCATCTCCATCCTTACAGCATTGTGGTCGGAACAAGTTTTTGGGCAGATTTCTACCTTCTTTATCTTTGGTGCCATTCCTCTAGTTATCCATATTTGGTCAATTCTAGTCCATGTCATCTTGGCTTCAGAAAAAAAGGTTCCTTCTCTTCCCAGGGGGTTCTTTACCCTCCAGATGTCCACTAAGTCCATATTGTCTGTCATCTCAAAAAATGTTTTCGGTAGTCTACCATCCTTGGTGACTACCTGTCTTTGTGCCTTGTCCATATTTGTAGATACTACTCCATTCATGTCCCCCATCAAAATCAAATTGTAGTCCAAATGATCCAGTAGAGTCTCATGCAACTTTTTATAGAATTCAGATTTCCCCTCGTTCGGTGCATAAATTCCCACAATTAAGAATTTCTCTCCTTGTAGTTGAATTTCAATTGCCAAAAATCTTCCTTGGTCATCTTTAAAAATAAGTTTCGGTAAAAGTCTCTCCTTTGCATAAATCACAACTCCTCTTTTTTTGACTTTGTCAGATGAAACAAACTCCTGTCCTAATCTTTTATTAATCAATAACTTCCTATGTGCCCTTGTTATATGTGTCTCTTGTAGACAAATCAAGTCCAATTGTTCTTTTTTTAATAGATGAAACACACTTTTTCTTTTCCGAGGAGAATTCAAACCGTTACAATTCCAGCTTAATAGTTGCAGAGCCATGATGGGGGCTACTTCACTTTACCTCCAACTGCCCCAAGTGCCGCTTCTTGTTCTGTGGGTAGTATCACTTTTTCTGGACCGTGCAGTCCAAAAGATAAATTTGATATGTCTAGTATGCCTTTTGGTTCTTCTTCAGATTCCCCTTCTTTCAGTAGGTCTTCCTCGTGATCTTTCAAGAATCTGTCTTTTTCCTCAATTGATTTTATTTTTATCTTTCTCCCTTTATATTTAAAGGACAGGCCTTGCGGAAATTCCCACCTGAAAAGAATTCTGTTTCTTTTCAATAAGGTCACTAGGTCTCCGTAATTGGACCTTAAGTCCAGCAAATGCTTTGGGATGTCCTTAAAAATCACTAATCTTGAATCATCAATTTCCAAAGTTTTTTGATAGTGCAAATTCAGAATTTTATCTCTCTCTTCTTTTGTTCGAAAGGTAATCAAACAGTCTCTCACCTTGCCCTTACCTTGTCTTCTTCCGAGCCTAAATGCATTCACTATCTTAAATTCTTCCTTACCCAGGTCCAATTGCCAAAAATCTGTAAATTCCTGTGTAAGAGAATCAGCCAAATTATCTTTCTCCCGTTCTGGAACAGCCCTGATTCTCAGATTTCTTTGTCTATCTTTTAATTCGATCATAGAAAATGTCACATCATGGTCCTCCAATTTCTTGTATACAGGTGGAATTTTCTCTTGAGTAGCAATTGCAATATCTTTTGCTTCCTCTGCAGTCTGTCGAATCGAGGCAGATTCCTGTAGTAATTTTTCGATAGTCTCTGTATTGGCATTCACCTTCTGTCCCAAGGTATTAATACTTGCAGTATTTAAATCAATTTTATTTGATGCTTCCACAACTTGTCTATTTGTCTCAACTACTTGTCTATTTGTTTCAGCTACTTGTCTATTTGTCTCAGTTACCTGTTTACTTAGGCTTTCCAAAGATTCATTAATTTTTGCCAGTGCCTGTGCCAAAACTTCTTCTGTCTGACGACATAACTTTTGATTTAGACTGTGGGAGTGGGACCCCTGATGCTCCAAATGCTCCAGATGTTGAGCCCCTTCGCGGCAACGCAGTGTCTATCCGATAATGTCTGCCAGACCTAGTAGTTTTTTCCTGCGGTTCTGACTTCCCCTTATCTTCTGCCATAACAGTCTCATAGACATTCAAGGTCACTCCCACAGTCAGTCAGTTGTTTTGACATAGAATGGAATTTTCCTCTTTGTAACTGTTGTTGTAACAATGTCCAACCTCCTCTAGGGGGACACAGTAACAGTCAGAACTTGTAACTTTTTAGAAACAAAAATAGTCTTTATAAGTCCCCCAATTTACTTTAAAAGTCCACAGTCTCAATGCACTTAAACAGTTGCTTTCAAGCCAAAAGAGGTTCAGAAACACTGTATCACTTTTGCAGAGTTGGCTGTCAGAAATAAACTTTCTCTATGCACCTTTATCTTAAGGCAGTCCGTTCCGAATCTTAAATTGTAAATTTTTCCTTCCTCTCCCCTTCTTTACTGCAGGAAAATTCAGCTCAGTCTTTTTCCCCCTCCTCTCCTGCAATCCGGAGGGGGAACCACTTTCAAGATGTTAGAATTTAGCTCTTTTCCAAGTAACTTTCCGAGTTTCCGCTTTGAAATCTCTTTGCTTTGATCTATTTACAATTAAGAGAAGGTAGACTTCCTGGTTGTACCTTCCCCGCTCCGTGCCAAATTAACTTTTTTTTTTTCCCCTTTAAGTCCAATTTAATCCTACTCACGGGTAGTTGTTTTCAGTGCCGATTATCCCAGGAAAAAGGCAGCGCTCTCCGGTAACAGCTTCGCGGCTTCGCTCCACGGAAGAAGCAATTTGCTCACAGCACCACGCCACCCCCGCTCCGCTCCGGAGCCCGTTGCCGAGCTCCTTTAGCAATTGGGG